CTCTAATTTAACTAGTTATCCACCCCAAAAATCAGCCATCTAGTCGTGACAAAAAATGGGTGAAAACAGTTCCAAATGTATCAAAAGTTTATCATATTAACCAGATACATCACATAAAGCACTTTGTACACCATGTATTTGATTTGTGCCAAAATATCATTCACTTTGGGCGTTACTCCATCAAAGCGGATAGCATTCCTTGTTCTCCCCACCCAATAAATCGTATAGCAAATGGAGATTCTAATAGCTATAGCCTTGATGTTTGCTTCATTACTTGATATTTATTGCTGAATTGATATGTTGCTGATTCCTAAAGAAGGAAAGGAATGCACAAATTATACCGTGGGATCGGCCCACCATGTTCATGGTGTGCCGATCCCAAAACGATACAGTTTTATACTCTATTAAAAACTTCCGGTCATCACTCTTTCTTCATGTCAGTCGCCGATTTTCGGAAAGCTCTCTAGCACCTCCGTTGATTGTTGCCGACATAAATCCACTGCTTAATATCATAGATGGTCAAGGTGGTGCAGCTGCCCGTGAACATGTGTTCAACTTGCCGGAAAAAAGTCGGGCTTACTGGGTTTAGGTGCAGGTGTCGGGTCAACTTTTGCGGGAGCCACCGGTACTCGGAGATGCACGGCTGCACCTTCGATTTCAAGGCTGCCGGAAGAGAAGCCATCGCCAAGCCAATCCTCTAATCAAAGCGCAGAAGGTGGAGAAGATATGATTTTAGGCTCTATCAGCCGTTGATGGCTACCAGTTTCTCAAAATGCACAACCATGTTTGGATATGACTAGGGCAAAGGTCGAAACAACCATGATAAATATATACGAAGTATATCACAACTCGAAAAGCAGGGCCAGATATATATCAGATCATTCACTTTTTGTTACACTTACATTAACCTGATGTAAATTTTGTTTTGGCTTAAGTTACATTTGTATACTCGCGAGTTACATTTGAGCTTGTCTCAAAAAGTTACATTTTGCATACATTTGAGTTACATATTTAATCAACACGAGTTACATTTCCCATAACGCGATTTACATATGAAAATAAACCCCTGCTAATGAAGAAAAAAATGATTTTTATAAAAACCATTTTCAATGGCCTTGACATTAAAAAATAAAACATATACACTATTTATGTAAAACAATTGTGCAATTAGACTCTCTTTTTCATTGTTTACATTGAAATCAATATTTTATTTCATATACTATGTATTTGACAAGTTACTTTTCGAATGAACTTGAGTTACACCGATCAATAACATAAGTTACATATCTTTACACGCGGGTTACATCATTCACGCTACTAGGACAAAAAGAAAGAAAAAATAGTTACTGTACACGCGCGTACTGTTAACGCGTGTACTGTACACGTGAATTTAAAAAAAATTGTTCAAACCTACGTCGTTTTGGGAGTGAAGCACGGTGCTCACCGTGAGATGATCCCACGGTATATGAACTGAAAGGAATGCGGCGAAGTGTTCCAACTCAAAAGACTTAAATTGCTTTGTTGTTAATTTAGGGGGTGTTTGGATCTGATTCTTAAAATTGCTTCTGCTCCTTCAGGGAGCAAAATCAGAAGTTGGAGTGTTTGGGTGAAGGTGCAGAAGTGATTCCGGTGCTCCAATTTACTCCTAGAATCAGTTTTTCTAGAAGGTGGGGTGACCAGTTTCTGAAAATTTATTCTGATTTTGCTTCTGCTTTAAAAAAGAAGCAGAAGCAGAATCAGTTTCAAACACCCCTTACTCCGTGATAAATTACTCCGTATTAGTGAAAGGTTGCATAGGTGGGCTTGGAGACTTTGAGTCTTGGAGAGTGGTTGACCCTGGAGTAATTTAGTTTTTAATTAAAAAATGCAAAATGAAATGTAAACACCTAAATGTCAACTTGTCAACACTCACATGAGTAATAGGTATGGCCATGCGGTTGAGGTCTTGATGGGCCACTTTTTGTCTTTTCCAAATTTCTATAGTTAATAATACACTTTCATTTTAGCATACATACCAATACTAAGAAGTAATACTAGGTTTTTTTATAAACATGGGGTCCCTCTCAAAGTGATGCCCTAGACAACTACCTCGTGTGTTCCTAGACCCTAAAGCCGGTACACCGCACTCATAACACTCATACACATGAGGTGGGTAAGGGCCCCTAATGTCCCTAGGGGTGGGAAAATATACCGAAATTTCGGTATACCGGTCATACCATACCGAAAAATACCGAATTTACCGAAATTTTCGGTATACCGAAAAGTTCGGTACGGTATGATACCATACCGGGTCACTTCGGTACGGTAAAGGTATGGATTTTTTAGATTTTCGGTATTTCGGTATATACCGAAATATCGTTAATTTTCGGTATGGTACGGTATATACCGAAATACCGATATACCGAAATAGAATTTGTATATTTTTAGGGCCAAACCCATTAAATGAAATTATTAAAATACCAAGGCCCAAAATTAAAATAATTCATCTTATAATACTACGGCCCTTCTCTAGTTCTCCCAAGTAGAGGCCTAAATCCCTAATCAAATAAATGAGAGAATTTGAGTTTGCACCCCATGTTTTGGGTGATATTTGACTTTGCACCCCATTTTAAAAATAATGTATGCAACCATTAGCCGAAAAATTGTGAAGGAGTGGGGTGCAAAGTAAAATAATTTTATAGTGAATTGAGGTGCATACATTAATGATTTTGAAAATAGGGTGCAAACTCAAATATCACCCAAAACATGGGGTGCAAAGTCAAATTCTCCCAAAATAAATCAACGTAGAGTCAAGCAGCTTCTCTTCTCTTCAACGAGTGACAAAGTTGTGGACTATTGAGCATTGACGATGGAGATGCGGACGAGTGACGAAGATGCCATTGACGAAGCACGGAGTAGCGGACAACCGTCATTATTTGCTAAAGCTTAACCATCCTGGTAATATGAACAATCTGGTCTATGCTCATTCTATATTTATAAACAAATGATAAAGTATATTGATAAAATATTTATATTTATACGGCGGACGACCATCATATTACCAAAATAGAAAAATCTCTTATTTATACGGAGCTGCAACAATGATTCAAAGATTTGTTATTACAAACATTAGTTATCAATTATTTATGTTAGATAAATATTCTAATTTTCATTATGGATTGTGTTGAGACTTGAGATATTAGCACATAATTTTAGTATTTTCTACTTTGGATTAAATATTGTGTTTTAGTTTTGGTATCGGTTTATGTATTGATGTCGTATGCTACTTTTGACTTGTTAAAATCAGTTTTTTTGGATGTTCGGTAGGCCCCTTAAGCTAATACTTTATACGGAATTGCCAAGAAATTTATTTTTTTTGAATTTTCGGTATAAAACGGTATGAGTTACATACCGTACCGAATTTTCGGTATACCGAAATTCGGTTACCGAAAGTTTCGGTATGGTAACGGTATGACATTTACCAATACCGGATTTTCGGTACGGTATGCGGTATGGCGTTGAAATTTCGGTATACCGTACCGAACCAGCCCTAAATGTCCCTCCATCCCGAGTAGACCACTCTCTACTCGAAGGTTCATAAGATGTTTGGCTTCGAGATGCCCTGCTAGCCCTTCAGTGATTGTGTTTTGTTTTCAAATGAGCTGCTTAGCGTGAAGAGCTTGCTCGGGAACTTTAGTCCCACAAAAGGTGCCAATGTTGAGGTTAGGTCCCTCGCACTCCGAAAGCTCAACACAATCTTTCGGGTTTCGTTGAGTTTTTTTTACTATGAGGATATGTTTAGTGAGTTGATGGCAATACTAAGAAGCAAATCAAGAAGTAGGTAAAGTGCATATGGTTCTCATTCAATGAATATGGAATGCTTACAACACGCCCTTACCGAGTCCAGCCCTCTAACTTATAAACTAGGTTACAAGGCTATTTACTTTTTCTTCTATTAAGTCATGTCTTGATTAAGACGTCTGTTAGGAGTTAGATTTATATATGGGTTAATACGTCTATATGAAATAAGTGGTATTTGTATATGAGACTCTTTATTTTGCGTGCTGAATAAACGATTTCAATTGAGTAAAATAATTAATTTAGTATTATTCTTATATAATAATGTCAATGAAAAAAACTTCATTTATTATCATAAATAAATTTCACAGCCGATTAAAAAATACTGACAAAAAAGACATTTTAAATGACGTCTAAATTGAAAGAACAATGTACTATTTTTCAGCGTAATGATTAAGTTAGTTTTTTGACTGAAAGATTAAGTCCTGCTTTCAATTAAGTCGTAAGTAAACATGACTTAATGGTTGATTGGTTAAGTCCTCATTCTCATTAAGCCCACTAAGTCGAAAGTAAAAAGCCCCTAAGTTGATATAGAAAGAGTAAAGAGAGACTAAGCTATTGAATGCAAGTTTGTCAACCTTTTACAGTGAAATAACTGTGTGTATTTATATCCAGGTCGAGACGGGCATCTGACCGAGCCGGATAATGTCCCGAGCATAATTGTCAGCCTTTTTATTCTGCATTGGGGTTGCGATGGTATTTGGGCTCGCTCCAGAAATTTATTTGGGTGTTCCAAAATAAATCTCTCATTTCTATAAAAAAAAATAGTAACAAATACCAAAACTATCCTTATATTTTACTTACTTTTTATTTGATTTGATTTAAAGTAGGGTCATTATTGGAAAGTCAACTTCACACTTTAACTTACATAAAAGTGTATGTAAGCCAAAGTGGAAGTTGTTTCCGGGACGGAGGAAGTATATGATATGATTAATGTTTTTTAGCTTTCATTTTCATAAATAATGTTCACCTCATACTCTTATTTTATTATTTTGCATGCAAATCAATTTTGTTTTGATCAAATTTTATGAGATAGAGGAGCAACAAACCTCTAATTAGGCCTTTGCTTAGAATGATCCCTAGGTCAAGTATTCAAACTCTAAAATATGTAACAAGTCATCATATGAAATTGTGTGAACTAATTTCCAAATTAATTTTCACATGTTGGACCATGTTATGCCGTGATGACTCACATATGTGCATTTTTTAATGGAAAAGACTTGTATTAAGATACTGAAACTCACAAGACAATCATAAGAACAATCACCCTCAATTGGTCACAAGATCTACGATTAGATATAGAATCACTCTCCCTTGAAAAGGCATAATAATTCTAACCTCAACCCGAGAACCTTAAAGCATATAATGACCAAATTATTGATTTTGTTACACAAAACACCTACTTTTTGTGTCCAGATAACATCTGAAACAGAACGTATCCCAAAATACAGGGAGTTAAAACCAAACCCACGACAAAAATAAAACCCCGATGAAGATTTGGTGAAGCTCTTTGCTGCTTAAGTTTCTCTTTTACGTTAAAGAGAGGGGTGTGAACTTCATCAAAATGAGGTTGAGTTGCCTTCTTCGTCGCATCAATCCATGCCAGAACTTTCTTGTAAGGGCTAATTATACTCTCTCTATCCTTGTCGTCCAAAGCCTGAATTGCCAAATCATAAATTATGATTACATGGACTAAAAGGTCATAAAGTAAAGAGTTGAGAAATGCTGCTAAAAGAAAAAGAATTTAAGTTAGCAAGAAGAAATTCTGCTAAGTTGTGGTAAATTAAAATTCTTGTAAGCTATCAGCCCCACTTATATTTCTAGGTATATTTGTGTTTCAATATAGAGGTAATATAATGACCCTTATGGAACATCTTTTTTCAGTAAGAATTATACATTTCTATAGCTGAAATGATTACTATAACTTTGGGGACAAAAACATTGAAACTGCCACAATTTCTACATGTTAACAAAAAAAAGGGGATGACACCTCATCCCTGAGGGTCCCCCAACCCTGACCGGACGACGGTACGTTGGGAGATGTAAATTGAACTATAATCTCAATCTGACAGATAGAGAGTGAGGCTCTGTCCTCGGTACTTGCAGAGGTCATATGCATATTTTAGCATAGTATCCCTCATCGCAGTTGCCGGGATTCGAAACCGAGACCTAACCCTTGTGGCACTCTCTCGCTACCAGTTGAGCTACGTCCACCGGTAATTTCTACATGTTAACCTTCCCATCTTGAGATGCATTTCGTTGATACAATGCAAGAGAGGTGGATAGTAAGCATTAAGTGTGGTGTCTAACTGTCTAAATGAAAAGTAACAAAGAGAGAACTTTCCTTACCTCAAGTTGCATTAATTCACAAACTATGCGAAGATCTGCTATGGAAGGTTGGGTATTTCCCAGTAGAAAACTTCCATTTCCCTGGAGCCAAAATGACTCAATCTTATCAAGGGATGCCAATAGGACTTTCTTTCCCTCAGCTACTGCTTTCGGATTCAAAGGCAAACCAAATACAGGTGCAAGAGTAGAATTGAAAACATAACCAACTGGATATAAAGAGGAAACAGTCACAAATCAGTCTTTTTCTTTTAAGCAGAACTTCATGAATTTCAAAAGAAAATAATCATAATGAAGGACACAAAAAAATAAATAGTGTACATATACATATAGCTATATAGATATAAATATAAACAACCTATGCCAGAGCGTGTGTTGGTGTGGTGCCAGTCTAACACCGAGTCAATGTTCGCTCTTTTGCGTAGATCAGCAGGATACCTTCAAAGAGAAATTAAAAGGCACTGGAAAATGAGGCTAGGCTCCTAAGTAACCTAGACTATTTAGAGACAAAATAATCATTAATTAAATGGATTCCATGCAGGGGCAGACCGTAGTACAGACCTAGAGGGGTTACCGCCCACAACAAGAATTTTTTGTAGTGTATATATATATATATGAAAAATAATTTTCTCCCTCCGAAAAAATATTTTGAACCCCAAAAAATATTTTCAACCCCCAAGATACTTTCCTGGGTCCGCCCTGATTCCATGTCAAAGATAATGTCATTTTAATGTGGTAAAACGTAACAAATTAAAGCAGTATAAATATGATATTAACTGATAAAACTAGGCAACAAAACTCACCAATGATCTGCAACACGATTGACAGAAGCTAGATATTTGAGAATTGCGTGGCTGTAGAAGAAAGTGGGTGTTATAAACTGGGTTAAAAGGGTTATGGTGCCATGAAAAAACAAACCAAACAGAGAAATGACACACGATTCATTAAAAAGGAATACATAATTGGTTATTATTCTTTTTAAATTTTGAATGACCATGTTTGGCAACAATTTCCTTTTGTCTTATTACAACATATTTGTAGTTGGTATCATCACTATTTTTTCAATCTCTCATGCTAAATTGGTTTATAACGGAAAACCTCAAAACATAAGGTCAGAGGTACTTTTGTGGTTGCATTGATCGACATAATGACATATAAGAGGACCATTTTATGTTTTTCATATAGTTTTTCCTTTTTCACGAGTAAAGTGTTATACAAATACAACTATTTCACAACTCTATATTTCATCCAATTCAACTATAACGTTAAGGGAAAATGGAAACTAATAATCCTAAATTTTAGCGGTCTTCTTACAATAATTCAATCTAACTGCAATTTAGTAATAATCTCACGCTTGTACCTCATCTTCTTTCATCGCCCCCATGAACACTTGATGATCTATTATTCTACATTATTTTATTTTATTTTTCAAAACCCACATGACCAGTGGCGGTAGGTATTTGTTCAAGGGTGTTCATGTGAGCACCCAAATTTTTGAAAATTAAATACGTAGTACAAAAATACTACATGTAAAGAATTGATATAATAATTTATATATTGTATTTTTTATTTAATGTTTTTACGTTTAACCATTCTTGTTAGTTTTTTGTTGTTCAAAAAATTATATTTTTCAATTGTTGGATCAAACAATATTACTTTAAGTAAATTAATTTTGAATACACCCAACATTTGTTTTGACAAAATCAGCCACTACACACGACTCAATATAATACATACAGTGATTTATTTTACTTCGTACTAAATTACAAAACTACTACCTCTCAAACAGTTGGAAGTCTCCCTCCACTATAGCTGGCACTTGTTTCATAGGATTAATTTCTGCAATAACAAAAAACTCAAAAAACAAGTTAAAGAATCATTATTGTATTGGATTAATCAAGGGGCTACATATGTTTGCATTAATCCCGTCTTTCACTCACGCATGAAACATCTTGCATTGGATTTCTTTTTTGTTCGTGATCTAGTTGAACGCGGTCAACTACAGGTTCAACTTATCTCTAACCAACTTCAAATTGCTGACATTCTTACAAAACCTCTTGGTCAAAATCTCTTTGAGCGGTTTCGGTCCAAGATGGGAGTCTCCAACGGATCCTCCATCTTGCGGGGGCGTATTGGAAAATAATTCATTACTTTATTATATTTATTATTTAGTTGCACATGTATGTATATTATTCATGTATATCTCATAGCTTTGTCCAGGTTCATTCCTAATACTTAGGAATTCTAGTTAATTGATATTATCTGATGTATGTACGTGTAACTATATTAACACCTATTGAGGTAATGCATAGGATATTATCTGATGTAGTTGCTTTAATTCTTACGGAGTATATTTTTTTGTATCAGATATACTTGATTATATTTATTTAGAAAGTGTTTTTGAAATAAATATTTTAATTACTTCAGCAGCTTCACAAACTTAATTATTCCTTTCCATACGGGTTTACAATGGTATCAGACATTATTTACAATAAACAGTAAAGTAAACAGTAAAATAAGCTAAGAAAAACAGACTTTGGTATGCAGGAGACAGATGCTGGAATTCAGCAAGCTTTATTTGGACCTCCTCATGCTCTATCCCGTTCATCCTTCAGCAAAAGAAAGCACAAAACCATATTATTATGCTTTCATTTTTATTATTAAATATTAATTATCCTGCTCCACCTTATTTAATTATTCAAATGGTAATAAGTTGAAAATAAATGTTTCAATATTCCAACGGTTATCTAGCTAGCTAGCCGATCGTATCAATGTCATTTTTTGCAATACTTGAAAATAGATTGAAGCACACTGAGAAGAGAAATAGAAAGTAATTAAGATAAAAAAAAAAAGAGCATTAATTATATTTTTTCTGGGGAAGACAAATTAATCTTACTTGCAGAAAATGAGAATGGACCGAGAAGGCTGGGATAAGCGATCCACATACAATTTCAATGCCATCTCTTAGCTCTATATATACTTTTGCTAATTGTTGTCTCTTTGGTGCTTTTAAACCATTTGTTTGCGCATTGGGGTATTTATAGAGACGGAGATCATAATATAATGTGTGTAAAGGGAACAAAATCTCGCAAATTACTTTATTATTAGGCATATCTTTAATTTGAAGAGGTGATCGTCAGCCCTGACCTCACTGCCGTGGCATTGCGGCAATCCAATTTCTTTACTTTTTCAAGTAGTTACTTGATTTGTCAAACAAAGTTTTTCGGTTTTTATTTGGATCCGTTGATGGTATTGGTCCACCTCACCCGGGTCATCCTTGAGTTGTCTTTGGTCCACCTCATTTAATAGTCTGATCTCCTATTTAATGTTCTGGCTCAATTAGGCTGCCTACCCGACCAAACCCATATGTCATATTTGTATTCTGCCCAACCCGTGACTTTTGTGGCCCTTTGATATATTTGTCTGGTTCTTTCTCGAACCTCTTATTTCTTTCGCTCCTCCTTCTCTCTATCCGGTGAGCCTCTTGTTCAGTTACCCTAGACCTAGAGTGAGAGAGTGTCGGTTCCATCTGAGACTTAGCTCCGTCTATGCTCCGGTGAGACCTTGGGGTTCCTATTGGGGTCTTCACTCTAGTCTGGTAGTGTGGTGGGTTTTACTCCTCCGGTGGGGCTTCTGGGCTGGGGTTTGGGTTCTGTGAGTGAGGGTCGTTGACGGTTGCCCTTCGTCTTCCCTGGTTGTAACTCTGGTGGTGAATGTGAGCAAGCCTTTGGGCTTTTGGTGATTGAGGTCTGAGCCAGCTCGGATTTCCAACAGTGGTATCAGAGCCTGGACACTGCTGCCTCTCACTGACGCAGGAAGCTCGCCAGAGAACTCCCACACCGGTAACGCCTGGAGACTTTATCGGAGAATGGTAAGTCGGGTTGTCTCTCAGTGACACCCGCTCAGGTATAAAAGCTAAACCCTAACTTGGGCTGCCGGAGTGCCACCGGCTTCAGTGTTGCATAGGTAGATCTGTAACCCTAGGTTATAGGTCTGCCGAGTAGAAACCCTAGAACAACTACTGCATGTACAGTATCTGTTAGCCCAGATCTGTAGAAACCCTAGGTGTGGTTCGGTTGTACATGAGTGGTCCAATCTGTGTCGAACTTGGCCACTGATTATCTATGAACTTTGATTGGCTTATTAAATTGACTTTCTGTGTGTTGTGGTCTTTAATTTGCTACCCGCTCTGTGTTGTTACCTCAGAACCTCTCTCTGAATTGTTAATGCTTGCCTTGTTACTGTTGTAATTTTGTTATTTTCTCTGCTCAATTCAGTCTTGTCAATTCCTATTCTTGTTGTTGAGTTCTGGTAATAATGTGGCTTCTAATCCCTAGTTGGCTAGGGCACCTAAGGTTAGGGCTAAGTGATTCCCTGCCAGCCACTTCAGTGGCCCCGGAACTGCGTGGTCACTTAGTCCACGACCCAAACCACTAGGGTTAGCCTTTGTATTACCTGTATCTCAGCAGCTAGTGTGTTGACTGTTATCATGGCTTCAAACCTATATGGAATGATGCCTTTTAATGGTAAGACTGACTTTGATATATGGAAACAGAAGATAAAATGTGTGTTAATTCAACATAAAGTGTACAGAGCTGTTACTGGACAATACTTAGAAACTGAGGATAAACCTAAACAAGTTGAAATAAATGAAACAACCTGCTCTACTATATACTTAAACCTGTCTGATTCTGTCCTTAGAAAGGTTGGAGTCATTGAGTCTGCTAAAGCCCTCTGGGACAAACTTGAGTCTCTATATACTGATACTTCCCTTCCTGGCAAACTGTTTTTGTTGGAAAAGTTTTTTAGGTTCAGACTTGACGTAACAAAAAATATTGATGAAAACCTAGATGTTTTTAATAAACTAATCCAAAACATTAAGCAGGCTCGGGATAAACATATAGATGACTACACTGCTATAGTTTTACTCAATGCTATACCCGATTCCTATAATGATGTTAAGTCCGCTATTAAGTATGGGAGGGATGACATAACCCTAGATATTGTTATTAATGGCCTGAGAAGTAAAGAACTGGACTTAAAACATTCTAGGAGTCATCATAGGGAATCTGGGGAAGCTTTGTTTGTTAGGGGAAGATCTAAAAGAAGGTCTAGACACCCTAAAAAGGACAATCAGGATAAAAATAGTATACAACCATGTAAGAAGAGGTTCAAGTCTAGGAAAAGAGTCTGCTATAACTGTGGTAACCCAGGACACTTCATAAAAGATTGCACCCAACCTAAAAGAAATGACCAGGCTAATGTTGTGACCAGTAAAACTGTAGAGGAAGAAGTTTTTATGGTCTGTGATCAAGCTAATTCTGTTCTTAGCAGTCTGACTGAAACTGAGTGGTTAATAGACTCTGGCTGTACCTACCATATGACCCCCTTTAGGAATCTATTCTCCTCCTATAACTTGTGTGAAACTGGTTTTGTTTCCCTAGCTGATAGTAAAAGGTGTAAGGTCCTTGGTATTGGTGACATCTGTCTAAAATTTGAAAATGGAACTGTTTTTCAAATAAAAAATGTTAGGTATGTACCTGATTTAAAGCATAACCTACTCGCAGTCTCTGCTTTTGAAGAATGTCGTCTTGAGGGTAAATGGGGGAATGCGTGTATGAAAATTTTGAAAAACTCCCTTGTTTTGTTCAAATCTTTGAAACAAAATAACCTTTATGTTGTTCATGCTAAACTGTTTTCTGAAAATACTAATGTTGTACTTAGTGACAAGTCTGTGCTTTGGCACCAAAGTTTAGGTCACATATACCATTCTGTGAAGGGTGTGTCTTAGGTAAACAACATAGGGTTCAGTTTCCTGCCTCTAGCTACCCTAGTGAGCCTAAATCCAAATCTGTCCTTGACTATATACATGCTGATGTATGGGGGGGCTTCCAGTGTCCCTACCCATGGGGGTAGGAGGTACTTTCTGTCCATAATTGATGACTTTTCTAGAAAAGTCTAGGTCTATTTGTTAGAACATAAATCTGATGTGTATGTTAGGTTTAAAGAATGGAAAATTATGGTAGAAAATCAAACTGGATGTAAGGTTAAAACCCTTAGAACTGATAATGGATTAGAATTCTGCAATAAAGATATGGATAGGTTGTGTACTGAGAGTGGGATTAGGAGACAGAAAACTGCACCCTATACTCCCTAACAAAATGGCTTGGCTGAGAGAATGAATAGGACCCTCCTTGACAAAGTTAGAAGTATGCTTGCTACTTCTGGCCTCCCCAAGATGTTTTGGGGAGAAGCTGTTAACACCGCCACCTACTTGATCAATTGGTCTCCTTCTGTACCCTTAGAGGGTAAATGCCCTGAGTCTGTCTTCTCTAAGAAACCCCTTGACCTGACAAACTTAAAGGTGTTTGGGTGTGCTGCCTATGTATAACCAACAGACTGACAAGCTGGACCCTAAGTCTAAAAAGTGCATTTTCTTAGGTTATCCTGAAGGGGTAAAAGGGTATAGGATCTGGGATAGAAATCAGAGTGGTTTTAAGGTCATTATAAGCAGAAATGTTGTGTTTAATGAAAGTGACTTTCCCTGCTTAGTTAAGACTGTGACTGACCCTCAAACTGAACCTGATGGCACCTCTCCCAGTGAGGTGGAGCCTATCCAGACCACTGCTGCCCCTCTGTTAAATGAGTTTGTTACTCCTGACTTGACCAACACTATGCATGACACCCACTCCACCTCCAGTGAGGTGGAGCAGGCCAGTGGATCTAATGTTAATGATGAAAGTGTGCATGATGTGTTTGCTGGTAATGACTCTACTGATGATAATGACCATTTTGATACTGCTACTGATAGTCAGGGTCTTGAAGACTATCAGTTAGCTAGAGATAGGACTAGAAGAAACATAAGGAAGATTTCTGATAGCATGACTGACTATGCTTTTCACCTATATGATACTTCTCTTTTGCCTTCTCTGTTTTTGAAACTCTTGAGTTGAATGAACCTAAAACCTACCAGGAAGCTCTTGCCTCTAGAGAATCTAAAAACTGGCTTATGCTATGCAAAGTGAAATAGATTCTCTTAAGTTGAATAAGACTTAGACCCTAGTTCCTAGGACTCCTAATTGTTCTGTTGTTGAGTGCAAATGGCTTTTCAAAGTTAAAGAAGAACCTAATAGCATTAGGTTTAAGGCTAGGTTAGTGGCTAAAAGTTTCACTCAAAAGGAAGGGGTACACTATGCTGAAATTTTTGCTCCAGTAGTAAAATTTACCACAATTAGGATGATGTTGGCCCTTGTTACCCAGAATAACTGGGAGATGAAGCAGATGGATGTTACCACTGCTTTCTTGCATGGTGACCTAGACAAACAGATATACATGACCCAGCCTGAGGGTTTCACAGACCATAAGAACCCTAGTCATGTATGTTTACTTAAAAAGGCCCTCAATGGCCTGAAACAGTCTCCCAGACAATGGAACATAAAGTTTGACCAGTGTATGTCTTCCATGAGTTTCAAAAGGTATGATTCTGACCCTTGCTTGTATTTTAAGAATACTGCTTCTGTACCTGTTTTCTTGTTGATCTATGTTGATGACATGCTTATCATTAGCCCCTCTGTGAATGCTATTAAAACTGTTCAAAAGTGCCTTTGTGAAAACTTTGCTATGAAAGACCTTGGAGATGCTAAGAGAGTCCTAGGGATCAATATAATTAGGGATAGGAGTAGATGTACCCTTACCCTGAACCAAACCTCCTATCTAGATAAGGTCCTGAAAAAGTTTAATCTTGACTCAGCCCAGCCTGTAAATGTTCCTTTAGCACCCCATTTTGTGCTAAGCAAGGACCAGTCCCCAAGGACTGCTCCTGAGATAGATAGGATGAAGTCTGTACCCTATTCCAGTGCTATAGGGTCAGTCATGTATCTCATGGTAAGCACAAGACCTGATATAACTTATGTTGTTAGTTTCTTAAGTAGATATATGGCAAACCCTGGTATGTCTCACTGGACTGCCCTTAAATGGCTTATTAGATACCTTAAGGGTACATCTTCTCATGGTCTTGTGTTTTCTAAAACTGAAACTAGCATTTTACTTACTCGCTATGTTGATTCCAACTATGCAAATAATAGGGATAAAGAAAGTCTACTACTTCCTATATTTTTACTCTGTGTGGTTCCTGCATAAGTTGGAAATCCCAACTACAGCCTATTGTTGCACTGTCCACTACTGAATCTGAATATGTGGCAGCCACTGAAACCTTTAAAGAGGCTATTTGGCTTAAACATATACTAACTGAAATTGGTTTTCCTAAACAGATTGTGACAATTTACTCTGATAGCCAGTCTGCTATCCAATTGTGCAAAAATCCTGTATTTCATGACAAGACCAAGCACATTGATGTGAGGTTTCATTTTATAAGGAATATTGTTGATGCAGGTTGGATAAAGCTGTCCAAGATAGCTTCTGAATTTAACCCTGCTGATATGGGGACTAAATGTCTCACTTTTGAAAAACTGTTGTCTTGTAAACGTATTCTTAATTTAGATTGTGGCTAGATAAGAACAGAAAAAACAAGAAAAAACCGGCGATGATGATACTCCCTTTCACGTTGTGCTCTACACCACCAGGGGGACCAATAAGGTGGAGATTGTTGATGGTATTGGTCCACCTCACCCGGGCCATCCCTGAGTTGTCTTTGGTCCACCTCATTTAATAGTCTGGTCTCCTATTTAATGTTCTGGCCCAATTGGGCTGCCTACCCGACCAAGCCCTTATGCCCTATTTGTATTCTACCCAGCCCGTGACTTTTGTGACCCTTTGATATATTTGTCTGGTTCTTTCTCGAACCTCCTATTTCTTTCGCTCCTCCTTCTCTCTATCCGGTGAGCCTCTTGTTCAGTTACCCTAGACCTAGGGTGAGAGAGTGCCGGTTCCATCTGAGACTTAGCTCCGGCTATGCTCCGGTGAGACCTTGGGGTTCCTATTGGGGTCTTCACTCTAGTCTGGTAGTGTGGTGGGGTTTACTCCTCCGGTGGGGCTTCTGGGCTAGGGTTTGGGTTCTGTGAGTGAGGGTCGTTGACTGTTGCCCTTCGTCTTCCCTGGTTGTAACTCTGGCGGTGAATGTGAGCAAGCCTTTGGGCTTTTGGTGATTGAGGATGAACAATACCATCTTTTGAGGGGTGAACAAAATTGCTCTTGCGCAAGAACAAAATCTCGCAAATTACTTTTTCTTTGACCCGTAAGCCACCTAAGAGGATGGGGTAAATGCCATGTTCAATAACCTATTGCCTTCATCTCTTAAAATTTTTCTAAGTTGACTGGTATGAAAAATAATAAAGTAAAACTGTGTGATTGAGGTTTGTACAGAGGAGAGAGAAATATTACGAAAATTCAAATTAATTGATTAAAAGGAAAAATATAAAAATATTTGAGATAACTCAAAAAGGAAAGATGACAAAGTTTTAAGGGACGAAAATAATATTTTACTACCTCCATCCACCTAAGATTGGGACAAAAGAAGTGTGGTACGGTGTTTAAGAAAAAATAGAATTGTATGACTGATATTGAATTGATAAAGTGTAAATAACGTAATAATGAACCGTAACCACTCAATTATTACAAAATGTGATATGAGACAAATTTAATGAGATAGATGAAAACAGTAAAACGGGACAAGGTTAGGAGAACGGAAGGATTATCATAATAAGATTTTACAACATGCTATTGGGCTTAAAATACCCCTTACACAAGTATATAATTGAATGAATTTCAAAGATGGGATGAGACCATATGAAAGTACCCTTTAGCCAAGTAAACAATTGACCCAGTGGTCAAGAGCTAGTGTTTGAAAATCTAGCAAATTACATTTATTAGGTATGAAAAGTCGAGTAAGCCTCAATTTTGAGAAAACGGTCACATACTTTAAATTTTACGAACCAAGCTCACCCCGCCCTTCCCCCTCGGTTCGGGTCTACACCCGATCCCGGACCGCCAGACCAGGTCGGTACCAGGCCCGCATAGGGATGAATTCGGGCCGGGCCTAGGCTCGGTCGGGCCGCCGGTTCAAGAATAGTGGGCCCGGGACCGGCCCGAGGGTTGGACGGGTCCGGTTCGGGCCGGGCCACCCGCCCGGGTCACGGGTCGGGTCCGGTTCGGGCCGGGCCGGTTATTTTTTTTTTTTATATAATTTATATTTTTTAGTTTATAGTTTTATACGAGTATTAAAAACAAACTTCAATTGCATTTATTTGAAATGAAATGGGAACTACATTTGAAAATTAAAACAAACTTTAAGAGATAAACATTTTGAAAATTGTAATCAATCGGAACTTCCCGCACCTCCCGATCCTTTGGCTTTGTCACAAGACTTCATATGCTTGATTGCCATCCCGAATCCGCCTGAAGCCCCCATGTTACATTTTTTCTCGCACCATTTGCAAATTGCGTACCACATCCCGGTCTCCGGGTCCTTCTGCTTATCAAAATTATACCGTATAATGGCATCTTGATTTTCCATCTTAACTTCTTAAGTATAAACTATAAAGTAGATATATAAATAATAAATATAATATATTGGAGAATAAGAGAATTAGAGAGTAGAGAGTTAAGAATAGGATTTAGGAAGAATTGGAGAAGAGATATGAAAAAATGTTTAAGATTAAGAGTATTTATAGGTTTTTTTACCCCCCACCCCCCCCCACCCCCCGGACCCCCCCTTTACCCCACCCAACGGCTATATAGCCGTTTGGGTTGTCCCCAGCCCCACCCCCAAGGCCCCAACGGCTAGTAGCCAAACCAAACAAAAAAAGTTTTTTTTTTAAATAGACCCGGGCCCGGGCCCGACCCGGCCGGGCCGGGTCACAAAAATCCAGAACCGAGCCCGCCCCGCCCCTTCCTATCGGTTCGGGTCCATACCCGGTCCCGGACCGCCCGACCGGGCCGGTCCCGGGCCCGCACAGTACCGGGCCGGGCCGGGTGGCCCGAACCGAATCCAATCCTAGGCCCGCACAGTAACGCGCCGGGCCGGGTGGCCCGAACCGAATCCAAGCCTACTTTAAAAACACTCATCGATTTTCCGAACTCTTGAAAACGCTCAATTGAGTTATTTAGAAGGTCACCGGCCAGACGGCCAGTTTCCCTTTAGCTACACGTGTGGCAGCCCACGTGGCATTTTTTTTCTTTTTCTTTTTCGTTTTCTTTTGCTTTTACTTGTCCTTTTCCTTTCTTCTCATTTGGAAGCGTAGTGCATAGCCGTATAAATTATAATGTTGTTATAATGTGTCGTGCTCTTGTAAATGATTTTCATCAGTCGAGATTTAAAGGATAAATTTTCGAGCAACAAAATAACTACACGAGGTGATCCCACTACAAGAGGGGTAAATTTTGTAGGAAACGAGCGGTCCAAGCTAGACTGGAACATTTCTGGTGCCATTTTTATAAAGACTTAAAAATTGAGAAAGGATCCGAATTGACCTGAGAACCGGAACAAAATTTGATTAACCCAACCTCAACCAAAACCAGATCGTATTCACTCCTAGTTGTTCTGTCCAGCCAGAAACCGGACCAACATTATAGTTCCTAAAGGGGCAACAGAATCAGCCTAGGACCGGTCGATCTGGAACGGGAATCAGTCGAGCCTTTTTCACCCCTACATCCAACCTTCATAATCAAGGGCCAAATTCATTGTAGCTAAGGGTAAATGAGTAAATCTGAGTAACATTGTATAGTTGAGAGATTAAACCAGGTTCCACATCTGTAAAAATTACAGATCAGATCATATCAAGATTCATATATATAACCTAGGCCTGTAGAAAACCTTAGCTTGATGACAGGAGAACCATGGAACATGTAAAGCGGGGGGAGCATATGCTGTAGAGTTGTAAATGCAAAGTAAATCAAGGCGCAAGAATTTCTTAATATTTACACATTGTTGAGCGAATCCCAAAGCACACTGAGATCCACATTCCCGCCAGAGATGACAATAGCTACATTTCTGCAGTCATTCCATGCAAGGTTCTTTCTAAAACCATCAGAAAGAACTGCTGCAAGGCCAATCGCTCCACTAGGCTCCACAGAGATTTTCAGAATCTCATAACAAAGCCTCATGGCTTCTAATATCTCTTTATCATCAACGACAATGATGTCATCAACAAGATCCCGGACGATAGGCCTGTGTTTCAGAATGGGATATACGTTAATTTTGACTGTTACTTGTTAAAAACATTTCATCACAGGATTCAAAAAAAACTACCCCATTCTTAAAATATTCAGGAAATTAAACTAATTTGTTGTAAACTTTTGGGGACAATACCCATAGTTATTTGTGAATTGTGATCATGAGTACAAATCTCTCATCTCACTTTTTACTGTCACATGACATTGGTGTGTTACTCATTGTGATTGGTTGATGGATACTAATAAAATAACGGACATCCAATAGTTAGAATTGATAAAAAGATACCAGCCAATCAGAATGTATAAGACATTATTGGGGTCCCCCAAAAAACGAATATAATAGAAAAAAAGTAACATTAAAAGATGGCATACATATCAGGTAAGTTAACAATCATCAAAGTGTGAAACATATTACCAAGTGAGATCTCCAAGAGACGCTCGAAGACCATCGGCGATAGTTTTAACCTCTGGCAATTTTATGATCCCACCAGCTGCCTTTGATTTTGCAGCATCATCAGCTCCCTTTGGTTCAGCAGCCAAAATACGAATGGACGGATTGATGGACTTCGCAGCCAAAGCCACTCCTGATATAAGACCTCCTCCTAACATATATGTGAGCCGCATTTGTGTTTGAGTATTAATTCAGAACATGACTTTAGTAGTCTTTAGAGAAAGAAGGCAGAGATACAGCGATACCGCTAATTGGAACAACAATTGTATCAATTTGGGGAGCCTGTTCCAGAAGCTCCAATGATATTGTACCCTGCCCGCTGCCAAAACCCATCAAAATTTTCTCACAAATGAAATGGAAGATGAAATTATTATGTTGATAAATAAAACTGCTTATAATGCACTTAGATCAAACCAAGAATAAACTCTCGGCCGCTTTCTTCTGAAACAACATAATAATTGGCGTAGGATATTTTAAGTAAATAAGGACAGATCTTTTAAAATTTGGAAATTATAGTCTCTAATAGTTTTAAAACGTGAATTTAACTTTCCAATGACATTAAAAAGGGCTCCAACAACTAGATGTCATTCTAAATAAATTGAACTGACTTTATTTATTTTGATCAAATATGGACCGTTCTTTTAAACTTTGAAAATTTTAGTCTATAATAGTTTTATAACTTGAATTTAACTTCCCAATGACATTAGAAAGGCGCAAATGGAAAATGTTATACTTAGATATGGTCAAATCAATAACTAGATGTCGTTCTCAATCAATAGAATTGACTTTAGACATTTTGGTCAACCCAGGACATATCCTGTAAAATTTGGAAATTTTCATCACCAAAATAGTTTTAGAAATTAATTGTAGATTTCAAATGACACAAAAAGAGCTTAAACTAATACGGAGTAATAGTAAACTAAGATATGTTGTGAAATGGAGAAGATTTAAAGTAGAAATATGAGATAGAAAATAAACTCGGGGTATTATACTTCTTGATTTGAAAATATCTGAATTGATTTTGCAGAAGTTTATCAAGCCCCTATTTATAGGTTGGGCTTGATGATGAGTCATCTAATGTGTGAATATATGGATTTCGTGGCAATAACAATTTGAGGCATCTTGTCTAACTGTGTTACATGAATTAAACTTATATTTCTGGATTGATTACAAGGATGAACAATTCGCACTGGTCATGTCTAGGATTTTAAAACAAGGTATAAAAAACCTACAACTATGAACTACATGTAGCATTCATTGACATGTTAAAGTGTTCAAGGCCTTAATTTATTACATCCAAAATAAGGAAATATTTAAAACATGTCTTATAAGAGAATGGAAACCAAAGAAGAACAAAACTGAGCTAATTGCTAAGACTAAATATTTTTAAAGTAGCTTGCCAATGTAAATTATGACCGCAACCAACTACAGTTCTATGAAAATCCAAATTAACTAACATCAACCTAAAAGACAATATGAACAGAAAACAAATAACAAAATCTGATTCTAATTATCCAACTGTTATAAGCAAACCAGAAAAGTTTGATTATTAGAATCAAACTTTCCTTAATAAATAAATGACAAAAGAGTACCTTATGATGTGCCCATCATTATATGGATGAATAAGAACAGAGCCTGTATCTTGCAATACTTTATTAGCCACGTCCTCTCTCGAATTCATATTGGACTCACTCCATATTACTTTGCCACCATAACGCACCACATTCTCAACTTTGCATTTCGGAGCATTTTTTGGTATGACAATGTGTGCATCAATCCCACGCAGTTTTGCAGCCAAGGCAAGAGCTGCAGCATGATTACCACTATGTGCAAAGGATAAATACTCAACATTCAGAAACACAGATTATGACTAAGCAATTAATTATGATTAGAGAGGAAATTAAATTAAACCTGCTATGAGTAACTACCCCTTTAGCTGCCTGAGCATCATTGAGTGAAAATACAGCATTGCATGCCCCTCTAAATTTAAAAGCTCCACTGGTCCATGCAGAAAAGAAGAAAAGGCTCTAACTTTTCCATTTGGACACACAAAAATACATAATCTGTCAAAAAGGGTACCTATATAACTATTATAATCAAGTTGGATACATTAGAAGAGTTACATTAAGTTCGATTAAAAATAGTTTATTTTTCTGAAATAAGACTCCAATCTTTGGGACAAACAATATTCCGTAGTTTTCATCACGACACTCTTTGGGAAGAGATACAAAAGCTTCTATGTAAAATATGTGAAAGGGCAAATCATCCCCTTCAGATGAACACACTAGTTTTAAAAATAACTTCCCTGTTCAAAAATAAACTTCCCATTCTCCCTTTAGGATTGTTCCAAAATAAACTTCTCATTTACTTCGGGAAAAGAAATGTTTGGTTGATATTGTTTTATGCTAATTAGATGTCAACCGCACAACTGTATTCCAAAAGAAAATAAAAAGTTCAGTTTGGGACTCTTGTACCATATAAACACCAAACAATCACCTTACCCCTTCTGAAAGCATTCACATTTGAAGTATAATTTTCTTCCTGCAAGAGAATTTAATGTGTCTGATGTCAGGACAGGGGTTTTGTGCACAAATGGCCCGATTCGCATACTGGCATCTCTTATGGTGATTATATTTGCAGCATATTCGTTGTTGGATATTGCATTTTTCTCTTCCATCCTGTTCCATTTCAAAGTTAAAATTGGACTAATGTCCTCCAAATCCTAAACATTCTATTGTGAAGGTTTGAGATTCATCCTAAAACAGCAATGAGGAATTGAGGGGTAGCCTAATTTATATTTTTATCAAAAGGTATGACTTTTTTGGCCATTGAATATGATGGAATAAAGAAAAATGACGGGCTAAACTGTCTCCGTTTTTTTGTTATAAAGCAGCAATCATTCCATGCAATTTTCGGCGCGCTTTTCACCATGGGTGATCCGGAAATAGTCTGCAATTTTCTACGTACATCCGACCACCCTTATCTCACCCTTATCTCACCGTAGGTGAGACCTTAGCAGCACTGGGAAATGATTATCTAAGTTTGACATGACAACATCTAAACCGGTGCACCAGGCTCCCATTCAAGATACACCCTTGACCCTACAACAACATCCAAGCCTTATTCCCAAAATACATATTCCCGAACGACATCTCTTCAATATACACACTAACACACTCTACCTATACAAAATTATTTCGATATTGTTCATCAAAAGATTTCATAACTACAATGAACTAAGCAAATCCATAAGACCTGCCGCTCCTGAGTATACATTAAATACACTCAACTAAACTACATGACAGTCACAATTAAAAATATCAGATTAAGTGAGTGGGGCAAAACAACGATGTAAATTAGGTTCCAATAATTAGAATTTAGGATTAGATCATACAAGTATTATGTTTCTTTATAAATTCGTTCTATTTCCTTATGGGCATAGGGTCCAGGGTTTGTTTGTCGGTCAGAAAGGCAACTTACAGTAAAATACAGGAAGCAGATCAGAGGATGGGTTGGATGCGGCGAAGCTGTTCCGAGCAAGCTAAAGAAGCTAAGTTATGCACTTATTATGCTTCCTTTTATTTTTGAGAAAATGTGGGATAATACTTGACCGAGTAGGAATTATTTCAAATAGGATTTCTAATATATTCCTACCATCCCACTAAGATATTTTTGAAAAAGTGATTTGTAGTAAAATTAGGTAGTTTTTGAGAGCAAAAATGCTTGGGATTAAAATATAAAAGTTGATTTCTAATATACTCGTTTCGTCCTACTAAGATTGTCCCATTTTATTTCATCGAGAAATCCCACTAAAATTGTCTCATACCATATTTGTTAAAGTTTATATGACTCTTAATCATTGTTACTTTATTCTTATTCTATCAATTCAATATCATGTCACCTTTTTTATTTCACTTTTTTTAATAATCATGTCACCTGCTTTCGCTCAAATATTAGTGGACAGAGGTAAGTAATATTTTGTACAAAAGTGATTTCTAATATACTACGTACCAAGTAATATTTTGTTAAATTACAATAGCATCATTTTAAAATCAAAGAGAGAGCAGATTGCAAGCAGAGTCAACCCTTCGCTTCACCTCCATGGCATCGCAGATCATCTGAAATAGGTTTTCACTACACTTGCTCTGCTAATTACTTCACCAATGCATTCAGAAAGCAACTAGGATAAGACAAATCAGAAAACAATATAAAAAAAAAGTTTATATTTTTTAAATTCTATTTTAAAACATGAATAATTAGTTTTATATTGTTTTAACTTCAATATTAGTCTACAAAATGTTATAGAGCAAAAGAAACAACTATCACAAAGACCAATAAATAATAATAATAATACATATTTTCTACCTAATTTTTAATAATACCAATTATTTGATTTCTTTTTTTGTGTGGTACATTATTAGGGAATTGTAATCAGAAAGAGGCTTCATATTATTTTGGGAAATTTTCACAAATAGCCTAAAATTGAAAATAATATCACTTTTTTTTCACTTTTGAAAGTTCTTTTCAAAAATAGACCAGTAAAGTTTTCCTTTCATAAATAGACTTTCGTACATAGAGCTCCAGTCATGCGCATCTTGATTCCTTAAAAGTGCAGTTAGGTTATTAAAAAGGAAAGTTTGCACTGATGCCACGTTAGTAAGCAAAAGTGTTATCTCCAACTTTATTCAACTCTTAAAAAATGTAAATTAGAAAATATTTTTTTTTGTAAAAATAAAAATAAAAAATCATTAAAGGAGGAAATTTTATAAATCGGATGGGGGATCTTTAAATATTAAAAGTATACAATATAAAAAATAAAATAACACAGAAAGATTTTTCAAACAATTAAAAATACGAACATGGTTTATTTTTTTAAGAGAGTCAAAAAGTCTAAAAAATAACAAAAATATTTTTAAAAATAAAATAAATAAAAATCATAATATTAAGAAAAAAATGAAGGAAAGCAAGCAATTCAAATAAAAAATTAATGAATTATCAGAAAACTTCAAAAAACTAAACAAAAGTGTTAAATTGTTTTAACCCTTTCGAAAACAAAAATTTTAAACATTTAAGATAAAAAAATTAAAATTCTTTAAAGCTAAAACAAATTGTAACAAAAATTAAAGAAGATGAATTCCGAGATTTGAAAAACATAAAAAAACTCAAATTTATATATAAAGTTTGAAAACATCTAAAACTTCAAAATTACTGTTAATAAGTAAATAAAAATAGAAAACAAGATTCTTTGAATTTTTAAAAATCAGAGAACTAGATTAAATTAATAAGCATTAAAATCTAAAACCCCTGGACACAAATTTATTTTTATTATATCATTATCACTTAATTTTTACTTTTGTTGCATATTGTTTCTTTGTGTTTATTTTTGTTGATAACTTTTAAATTCTTGTTTTTTATTGTTTCTTCTTGTTGTTCATATTCATTAATTGATACTCCGTATTTAACATTTTTTGGTGTTTGTTCATATTGTCTATATAGATATTTCAATTTTAAGGATTAGAAAAATATATAGAAATCCAAATAAATAACAAAAAACTGAATAAACAATAAACAATAATATAAAACATAGTGCAACGGAAAGTAACAAGATGCAACAAAATTCAACACGATGCAACAAAGTGCAATACATGTAATACAACAAAAAGAAACAAAAAATTATATATAATAGTATCACAATAAATACACAATTCAATCAATCATTTCAAATTATTACATTTATCCATTATGTTATTTCGCTTTACTTTATCATTTCTTTCCCGGTATGTCGCTTGTAGTGACACCAGTGTTAGTGTGCCTCACCAAAGAGACATCATTGTCTTTTTCCATACCAGTTGATGGTGGTACTTCTTCCCGGCCTGCAAAATATCAATCTTTTAGAATGGGAATATTTCTTCGTTTGACGAAATAATAAATTGGTATTATGAGATGGTAACTTAGGAAGAGACTTACGATGAGTCCTTGTAGGAGTATCAAGAGAATGCTTTTTGCATGGTTACCTCCCCCCGAGGACACCTTTTCATCTAAGCTGAACCTACTAGACCGAATGTCGTCATTTTCATTGTCATTGATCTCTTCTCTATAAGGAGAGTCCTTTTTGCGGCCAAACTTGGGAGATTTTGCTCTTGTTGTAGGAATCTTTTTTCAGCTCCACCTGGGAGGTGGAGGTTCCTGATAGAAGGTTGGCATTGAAGTTGCTTTAAATGTTAATGACATTCTAAACATTTTGATCTCAGCTTCTTGTGATTCCTTGGTCTTTGCTTGCAAATTATTCTGTTCCATTTCCTTTGCATGGATCTTTTCCTCTAGCTTAGAGTAGAATTATTTCCCTTTCTTCAGCACTTTCATTACACTTGAAACTGAAATCATAGCCTGGAAGTGCATTAACTCTGTGTGACTTGGCATCTTCAGATATAGGACTTGCAGAGGATTGAGCCATTGATTCAGCTTTATTTGGAGGGTCTTTCATGAGAGGCTTCACTTTAGGTTTTTCCGTAAAGCCTTCCGGCTATCCACTACTCGGGAAAGATGTTTTATCTGTCTGCTTAGAATGATTAGCCTTCACAGAAGAAGAAACCACCTTTGGATTTCTCTGGCTAGCTTTCCCATCATTTACCAATTTACTCTTTTCAACAAGAGCAGTAGGTTGTTTATCTAGTGATTTTGAGGTCATAGTCCCATTGAGTTTTACGTATTTGCCTTTCTTTGACCCAGAAACCACAGTATGTGCAAAGTTTGAAGGCTTCCCGTTTTTTAGCTTTCCAGAAGCTTTCTGCGGTTTGCCACTCTTATGCTCTGTATAATTCTTAGCTTTGGATTCCTTAGAACTAGGACTGCCATTGCTACATAAAGGCATTTTCGATTTGTCTTCAACCCCTTCAATAGAAGTTTCAACAGCTTTATCATCTTTCAAAATGACACCACTTTGAAAAATCTCTTGCACCCCTTCAATCTCAGTACTGCCGTTGGATACCCCTTCAGACTTATAAACAAATTATGTGATCCTAAATACTTAAGAAAGCGGATGTGAAGTTGTAAGAAAACAACTGAAAAGTTTCAATAATTAGTAACTACATAAGCATAAGTCATAACCAGAAAAAATATGTGAACTAAACAAGCAACAATCTAAAAATAAGATTGTAGGTTTTACTCGCTTAATTCATAACAACAATTTGGGAGCAATCTAGGGATATTCCAGAATTAAATTCAGGATTCACAATATACAATAACCTAAATTGTATCGAATTAATGGTCTAAAACGGAACACAAACAAGTCACAATATTCACATTATTAAATCACAGATCATAACTCCAATTCACAACAACCTGAAAATTATAACAAGTAAATCCAACCTAAATTCCAACTTAAATCACAACTTAAATTACAACAACTAAATCCAAAGAGCAATCTTTCTGAATTCACAATCACATAACCCCTCAAATTCCAGAAATAAAGATATAAAGTTGAACTAAATAAAATATAAAAACTTAAAGTAAAATACATACATGAAAATCAGAAGACTAGCGACTCAACGAGCAGGCACGGGCGGAGGCCAGAGCGAGCAGCCGCGAAGGGTGGGACTAGGGAGCTAGTGAGGGGCACAAGTGCACGGGACAGTAGGGCATTGGGATTTGCAAAGAGAAATAAAGACTTGCAACGGAGATTTGACTAATTTCGAGTTTTTCAGCAAAGCGGGGAACGCCGACCGGCGTGAGTGAATGAGTGGTAGCAGGTCTCAACTTGTCTGCTGCGACAGTTTGACTCGCGGTGAGGATGGACATAATGATGTCGACGGCCGCTCAGCTCGTTATTGATTTACCGCTTCAGGACGATTGAGATGGACTGAGAAAGCGGTGATGCCGCCGATTATAGTGAAGTCGAGGCGGTTTGAGGAGATTGATAGACGAAAGAGATAAATCCAAGATTTGGGGAGATAAATCGATGCAGATATACGGTTGATTTTTTCTGGACTTGATTGTGCTTAGATTTAAGCTTTCTTTTGAAATAAAGGAATTATAAGTGATAAGTTGAAAGTTAAAAATGAAAAGTATTATGTTGATGGACCTAAATGAAATGTTATGTACAAATGTGGACTATCCAGGTAATTTGCACTATTATTTTTATTATATATCCAAATATCTCATATTATTAAAAGTTATTTTCAAAGTACTTGCATAATTTTCCATTTAGTGAGTAAAACAGCGAGTTTCAAATAAAAGTATTTAAACTGGATGGATTGAACCTTAGTTATTTTCTAATAATGATATGAAATCTGACATGTGTTTCTCTGTCAAACGTAATTATAAATTACGTAGTATTGTATAATCAGTGTTAAATTAAAATGAAGAGTAGCGTAAAATAAAGAATGAAAAATAATCGTTTAGCAAATTGAATCGTGCACAAAATCAGAAATGTAGAGCCCGCTTGGTAGCCCTGTTTTTCGATTTATGAATATCATCCAACTTTTAACCAAACACGCAATTTATGATTTTGTGTGTTTAATTGCGTAATAATATGAATAGAAATTATCCAATATAAGAGTAAATATAAACATAATTACACAAATAGGAGTAAAACTTAAAACTTTCTTTAATAGGAGTAAACATTAATTTTGTACCCTTAATATCCCTAACCTAGTTAATTCTAAAATGACTTATTTAATCCTAACCTAGTTAATTTATGACTTATTCGATAATAATTTATTCATTTATTTATTTTTCAAAAAATAAAAAAATATAATTTTTAAAAAATAAAAAATAAAAAACTCAAAAAAATAATATAAAATTCACCGCCACATCTACCGCCTCAGCACCACCACCTCCAGTCACCAAAGGAAAAAATGTCAAGTTCATTACGAATGCCATATTTATGACATAAAAAAATGATAATGTAGACATTCGCAAAGAGAAATATGCCATGTTTGTCATTTTCAGAAAAAAGGCAGTTTTTAGGAAAAATGGAATTTTTTTCACCGCCCGGAGGTGGTGGTGCAGGGAGGTAGTATAGGCGGTGGGAAAGGCATCCATATTCTTTTAATTTTTTTTATGGAGTTTACTATTTTTTATTAATTTAAAAAAAAATAAAAAATTTAAAAAATATTTTTTTAAAATTTTTTTATTTTATTAATATTTTATAAATTTTTTAATTATTTTTCTACAATTTTTTGAATTTTTTTTCAAATTTATTATGAATTAAACATTTAATTAAAAGTTGTTGGGGCTTGGGTAGGGGTATACTTGTCCAAAAACTAAAGTTACTCCTTTTCAAAGCATGATACTCCTATTTTAGCATTTTGCCTATGTTTTGTTCCTATTTGGAGAATTCTCTCTAAAGTAAGGTAGAAGTTTACTTTTCTGTCTGTTTTGGCTGAAGATATTGTAGAAGAACATTTTAGCTATGTTTAAACATAATAAAATAAAATACATTTTTAATTTTACATAATTTTTTAATAAATCAGCAGAATCCGTCAATTCCACCAATTTTGATATTACCAAATTGGTATTACCAATTTTCAATAATAAAAACGATAAACTGAAAAAATGAGCTACGGTTCAAGTCTAGCATAACAGAAACACTGAACACACGTTTCATGGTAGTATGGCCGCCGGATTTGTTTTTGATCTTTATACATACCAGTCTTATTTTTATTTCACATAAACAAACCAGTTAGATATCTTACCTTAATCAACTCGACCTCTTCTCATCTCCAAAGACTTGATATTAGAATATGACATTACTTTTCGGTTTTCACAAACTCTTAGCTCGCTGAACTGATATACCTAGTTATAGTTACAGTTATGCTCCCATCTCACCATCTGGACAATCCAGAACCGGACCGAGTGACCCTATACACGTGGATGGATAAATTGTATTCTCCATAATAACTAAATAAACTTCATTCTTTTTCCGTCCGCACTAAACTAAACTTCTTTTACTCTTTTTGACAAAAAATCTATGCAACTCTCACCTTCTTAACCTCCGTGCAGAGTGAAAACACAAGTTAATTATGGGAGGAAGGGGGTACTTTAATCACCTGATACTTATAAAATAAAACAGCTTTTATTGATAAGGAAGATCATACCCCACAACATTGTTCAAGTAGGCAATCTAAGTACCACCAAAACACGATTGACTTTTTATCAAGTTATTTAGCAGTAAAGCAAAACAAAATAAAAATTTGTCAATGCCAAGCTTTAGGGAGGTTGCTGCTTTAAAGATTTGCTGCAGCTATTTGCTGCTTAAACATCTCTTTCACCTTAAAGAGATGGGTGTGAACTTCATGAAAATGAGGTTGAGTTGCTTTCTTCGTCTCATCAATCCATGTCAGAACTTTCTTATAAGGGTTAATTATTCTTTCTCTATCCTTGTCCTCCAAAAGCTGAATTGCCAAATCATATATATATGCATAAAAGAGTTAGATTAACTTCCATATGAACAGAACAGGCAATTAGTTTGAGGTGATAAAGTAAAGAGTTGAGAAATGCTGCTAAAAGAAAATACTACGTTTAATTACAGATATTTCATCCATCAATAAAGAAGTAAATTATCAAGAATAAATTCTGCTAAATTGTGGTGAGGAACAATTCTTGTAAACACCTGATTTTTAAATTGCCCTTATGGAACATCTTTTTTGAGTAAGAACTATATATTTCAAATTCATTGAAAGTTGCTTTTATAGTTAAAATGAGAGTTTTTGTCACGTTTGGTCCCCTGACTATTGTGTCAGCGAACTTTTAAGTTTTCTATATTTAGCTCTTGACTATTATGCAAGTATTATCAAATTGACACTTTTGGTCCATTCACTATGATTTTTGACACAATTAGTGAATGATAAAAATGTCACTATTATAATAGTTAAAAGACCAAAAGTGTCATTTTTATGAAAGTCAATGGACTAAATATGAAAATTTTCAAAGACGTACCAAAAGTGTCTTTCGCATCATAGTTAAAGAACTAAAAGTGGAAAAAATCAAAGTCATGTGCCAAATGTGTCAGACTGTCAATGACATAATAGTAGAGCACTAAAGAAGCAAAAACTCATAGAAATTATCACTATACCTTCCCATCTTGTGATGCATTTCATTCATACAAGCAGGAAAGAGAGAACTTTCCTTACCTCAAGTTGCATTATTTCACAAACTAAGCTAAGATCTGCAATGGAAGGTTGGGTATTTCCCAGTAGAAAACTTCCATTTTCCTGGAGCCAAACTGACTCAATCTTATCAAGGGATGCCAATAGGATTTTCTCTCCTTCAGCTGCTGCTTGCGGGTTCAAAGGAAGACCAAACACAGGTGCAAGCGTAGTATTCAAAAGATAACCAACTGGATATAAAGACGAAGCAATTGCAAATCAGTCGTCTTCTCTTTTCAAAACAGAAACAAAATTAAGAAAAGACAAAAACAGTAAAACTTATTTTATTACATTTTGCTTTTTCACCTTATGAAAATGCACTGCACCATAACTACAATGTTTTTACATTTACATAAATTATGATTGGTACGTCATTTGATATATTTTAAATATCTAGAATGAATTGGAGTTAAAACATATTTTCCCTCACCATTTTTCTTTCCTTCCAATATTGCAATTTGCTTCACTAATGTTTTTCCATATTATTTCCTAGGCCTGAAACAGATTATGGGAGGATTTTTTCTATTTTTTTTCTTTTGGAAATTGATGTCCATTGTTTTCCCAAAGGGGTACTGATTTTGAAACTAGTCATACAAAATTTACAGCTTGTATATAAAACACACGCTCGTATAAAACATAAATCAGAAACACAAAATATTTTTATTTTCGAAAGTTGAAACAGCTTTTTTTAAAACATAAAAGATTAAAACTAGAAACATAACCAAACAAACAAGCTGGTTTTGTTCACCAAGATATTTACAATTTTACAGCTGAAACACCCTCATTATTTTGTAAGCTTATGATAAAATAAAAATACTATTAACACATTCTTATTTCTGGGAGACTACAATAATGAACTCAATAGCAGATTGGAGTCCTTCACGAGTTAAGATTAGGATGATTAAAAAGGAAAACTATATAATTGTAGTCAGGAACACGATAAAATAAATAGTTTAAAGTTTATATATAGAGAGCTATAGATATGATATAGATATAAACAACCTGCGCCACGGCGTAAGTTAGAGTGGTGCCAGTCTAACACCGAGTCAGTCTTTGCTCTTTTGTGTAGTTCAGCAGGATACCTTCAAATACAATTCAAAAGGCTCCTAAGTGAATGTATCACTAAAAGGATTCTACACCGTATGTCAAAGATAATGTCATTTCAATGTGGTAAAACATCACATATTAAAGCATTATAAATATGAAATTGACTAAAAAAGTAAAATACAAAACTCACCAATGATCTGCAACACGATTGACTGAAGCTAGATATTTGAGAATTGCGTGGCTGAAGAACAAATCAGATGTAAACTGGGTTAAAATGGTTATGATGCCACAAAGTAGATACTGATGACTTTTCTATTTTGTTTTTCCGGTCTTGTTACCTCAGTTCCCTAAAGTGTCAGTGCCATGAAAAAACAAACCATAAAGAGAAATGCCTAGGCCACTGTTATTTTTCATAAAATATGAATTCATTTCATAAAAAAGGAATACATAACTGGTTTAATTCTTATTAAAACTTTAATGAACCAGAGCATTTTTCGGGGCCATTTCCTTTTCTCTTATCAGGCATTACCTGTTCGTTGTTACCAGCGCTAATTTTCCAATCTCACATGCTAAATTGGTTAATAATGGAAAACCTCAAAAAGGTTAGATGTACTTTTGTGGTTGAATTGACAGAAGTAGACCATTTTATCTTTTCCATATAGTTTTTTCTTATTAAAGTATAATATAACTATTTCACAATTCCGCAGATTCCATCCAATTCAGCCATAACTCCGTATTTCACATGCTCTATTGCTCTGATCCTATTAATGCAAATGCAAGAACTGATTATTTAAGAAATGCTCTGTTGATATATATCTTAACGATTCCAAAACCAGAGTTGATTGAGAACCAATTTTTATGCATACAACAACAGCTGCTAAAGTTTATAGACTTCAACACCCACACACTCAATATAATACATGCAGATGGATGTATTTTACTTCGTATTAAAGTACAAATGTACTACCTCTCAAACAGTTGGAAATCTCCATCTACTATAGCAGGCACTTGCTTCATAGGATTAATTTCTGAAATAACAACAAACTCAAAAAACAAGTTAAAGGAGTCATTACAGTAGGAGTTTTTGGAAGCTTGTAAGTATAAGCCTTCTCCTTGACATTTTAACCACACATTAACACAACTCACTACACAGTCTCTCTATGCTTTAGTACAGGGGTAAGACTGCGTACATCCGACCCCCCCTTACCCCACCGTAGGTGGGAGCCTTTGCGGCACTGGGGTAAATGAAAAAAAAAAATTAACACAACTCACTACACTGCGAATAGGTGATAATAGGACCAATAGAGAAGGAAGTTTCCTTTGGGATGAAAGGTAATAACTGTGACTCTTCAACTGTTACATTCTAATATTTATTTAAAAAGTGTTTTCAAATAAATATATTAATTACTTCAGCAGCTTCACAAAACTTTTTCCTTTCCATACTGGTATAAAAAGTATTGGGGGAAGGCTCAAAAGGGACATTAAGGTTTTTTACGGAGTGCATATTGGACACTCAACTTTTAAACGGATCAAATTAACACATATATGACTTATTTGAGCTACATTTGGCCACCCACTAACGTTTGTTTTTGACGGTCCCTCTAGAGTTAACAATTCTTTATCACTTTTGATTTAGAGAAGCCAAATAAACAATAAGCCCACCAAATACTCATTTCCATTGTCATTTTTCCGTACTTGAAAACCCCTTGGTCACTAGGTGTTGGCATTTTTGAAATATGATCCAATTCCCTGCTCCCGGTCAGCATTGCCACTATTTGAGTAGGAAGTGAATTCTCAAGCTTGGCTCATCAACAACATGCGCGTAGGTCAAAAACGCCCTTTCGCCGCAGGCGGATCTGTGCAGTAGGTATTGAAGCTTGGTATAAATGGAAAAGTCTTCCCCGTTTCTAGCTTCTTTACCAGGCTACCAGCAGAGTGAAGCAACCCAGATGGTCTCGCTCTTCGAGTAATTCTTGAATCAGTCAAACTCCTCGGTCCGATTCATCTCGTAATTGGTGAAATTCCTTTCAGACTTTCAACATAGACAGCAAACATGACATCATCAGTGTGCTCATTGAGACTCAGATTCAAATTGAGACTCAGTTAGCTTAGGGTGGGCGACTTCCGTACTACTAGACTAGAAGAAGATTTTACCCATTAACTAGATTTTTGCTCAAACAGAAATCAATGTTCTCTCTTTTTTTTACAGGAAGGAGATGTTTAACGTAGCAATTGCACACTTGCATTGAACGACGACAGAGACCACACGAAGAGGAAGATGATGGGGTATAGATAGAGAAGGAGAGAATTGAGTAGCTACATGATATGAACTATGAAGGGCTGTTAAACACCGTTAAAATAAAACGTGAATGGGTGGTCAATTGTTATCCAAATAAATATCTTATGTCCAAATAAATATCCAAATAAAAGAAAAGTGTCCAATATGAACTTCCTAAATAACCCTAGTGTCCATTTTGAGCCTTATCCCAAAAAGTATTAGACAATTACAGTTGTTAGGCAATAAGCTTAGACAATAAGCTAAAAAACAGACCTTGGTATTCAGGAGTACGATGCTGGCCTTTTGCAAGCTGTATTTGAATCTCCTCAAACGCTATCCCGTTCATCCTTCAGCAAATAAAAGCTCAAAACCAAATTAGTCTTGCTTCGCAAATTGATGAGAATCAAGATACTCTATCTGGTTTATTAATTATCTTGCTCCACCGTATTTGTTCCAATGGTAAAAAATAGGCGATATGTGGTTAGACTGTAATGAAATGGTTTAGACAGGACACCACTCAGAAATGGAACAGGCAATGGGATATTATTCCAACATTACCAGAATCAACAAGAGACTGAAGAGAGGGTGGGATAATTTGAGAATAAATTTGAGAAAACTATACAATTTCCTAAGCTGTAAAATTCTCTACTAGCTCGTATCAACATCATTTTTTTGCAATATTTAAGAATAGATTAAGCACGCTGAAAAGCGCAATGGAAAAGTAAGATAAAAACTAGGATCATTTTTCTTTGGGCAATACAAAAACTACTTCCAAATTAGGCATAGTAGATCAATGCGAGTATCATTCAGTGAAACCAATAAACAAGTTAAATTGAGGTGTTCGCAGGATTTCCATTAGTACATCTGAACCTTCTAATTGCTTAACGAACAAATGGTAGCATAAGTACAATCTAATACTTCTATTAATTAGTACAGCCCTCAACACCTCGTCCAAAGAAAGCCTAATATACAGCAAGTGAAAATCAACAAGATACAGTAGGCGTTTCCACAAAATTGAACCAAAATTTCGTAAATACTATGAGAAGCCAAATCTTACTTGCAGAAAATGAGAATAGCACGAGAAGGCTGGGATGCGCGATCCACATACAATTTCAACGTCATCTCTGTAGCTCTCGCCGCCGGCAATTGTTGTCTCGGGGATCTGGCGCTTTTAAACTATGGCGTTTGCGCGTTGCCGGTATTTAGATCGACGGAGATAATATAAGTCAATGAACCATAAATATGTTCACATTTCCTTCCATAAATATGTGTCGGTTGATATTTTCTACGGAGTATGTTCATATAGTTCGACCAATCCTAGAAAAATAAGTCGTTTTGATATACTCCCTCCGTCCCTTAAAGGTTTGCCAAGTTTGACTGACACGTAGAATAATAAAGTAAAAATTGTGTGGTATATATTTGTGCAGAGGGGAGAGAAATAACATGAGCCACAAATTGATTCATTAAAATGGAAAGTGGCAAAGTTTTTGGGACAACCAAAAAAGGAAAGTTGGCAAAGTTATAAGGGACGGAGGGAGTACGATTTTATCTTGTTTCAATTTTATTTATTATTCCTGATCTTGGTCCATGATGGCCTTTTTATTGATTTTGACGATAGGATCTCTACTTCCATATCTTTGAATTTCGTAACCGCAACAAAATCTAGCAAATTACCTCTATTATTCTAATGTTACGAATTAGATCATCTCTAATGCTATAGTTTGCACGTTGTACATATGACATGAAAGATAACCACATAAATATTAGCAAATAAATTATCCCTCTTTTTATTTGAATGATTTTATACAATTTTGGTAAGTTTTCTCCTACAATGTCAACTGCAATGTCAATATCTAGACAGTCTTCTTGACATTGTTGAGAAAAACTTACAAAAACTGCATAAAAGCATTTATATAAGGAGATAAAGAATTCATTAACTAATATTTATGTGGCTATCTCTCATGTCACATATGCATCGTGCACATTGTACCATTGGAGTTGCTCTTACTACCTACTCCATATTATTTTGTGTTCACAAATAAACCTATGTTGAAAAATCCGGACCGAGGAACCATCCGGACGAATGATAGGGTCACGGATAAACTCGGACCTTGTGGGTCAACCCGGTCAACGCCGGAGAAACCGATCAACTTTATATAAAATTCTATAGTAATATACATGAATTAATATATTTAAAACATGAAAATGTTTTATTTTTCATTGTGATAAAATAATAATAATAATAATAATAATAATAAATAAATAGTAGTAGTAGTAGTAGTAGTAGTAGTAGTAGTAGTAGTAGTAGTAGTAGTAGTAGTAGTAGTAGTAGTAGTAGTAGTAGTAGTAGTAGTAGTAGTAGTAGTAGTAGTAGTAGTAGTAGTAGTAGTAGTAGTAGTAGTAGTAGTAGTAGTAGTAGTAGTAGTAGTAGTAGTAGTAGTAGTAGTAGTAGTAGTAGTAGTAGTAGTAGTAGTAGTAGTAGTAGTAGTAGTAGTAGTAGTAGTAGTAGTAGTAGTAGTAGTAGTAGTAGTAGTAGTAGTAGTAGTAGTAGTAGTAGTAGTAGTAGTAGTAGTAGTAGTAGTAGTAGTAGTAGTAGTAGTAGTAGTAGTAGTAGTAGTAGTAGTAGTAGTAGTAGTAGTAGTAGTAGTAGTAGTAGTAGTAGTAGTAGTAGTAGTAGTAGTAGTAGTAGTAGTAGTAGTAGTAGTAGTAGTAGTAGTAGTAGTAGTAGTAGTAGTAGTAGTAGTAGTAGTAGTAGTAGTAGTAGTAGTAGTAGTAGTAGTAGTAGTAGTAGTAGTAGTAGTAGTAGTAGTAGTAGTAGTAGTAGTAGTAGTAGTAGTAGTAGTAGTAGTAGTAGTAGTAGTAGTAGTAGTAGTAGTAGTAGTAGTAGTAGTAGTAGTAGTAGTAGTAGTAGTAGTAGTAGTAGTAGTAGTAGTAGTAGTAGTAGTAGTAGTAGTAGTAGTAGTAGTAGTAGTAGTAGTAGTAGTAGTAGTAGTAGTAGTAGTAGTAGTAGTAGTAGTAGTAGTAGTAGTAGTAGTAGTAGTAGTAGTAGTAGTAGTAGTAGTAGTAGTAGTAGTAGTAGTAGTAGTAGTAGTAGTAGTAGTAGTAGTAGTAGTAGTAGTAGTAGTAGTAGTAGTAGTAGTAGTAGTAGTAGTAGTAGTAGTAGTAGTAGTAGTAGTAGTAGTAGTAGTAGTAGTAGTAGTAGTAGTAGTAGTAGTAGTAGTAGTAGTAGTAGTAGTAGTAGTAGTAGTAGTAGTAGTAGTAGTAGTAGTAGTAGTAGTAGTAGTAGTAGTAGTAGTAGTAGTAGTAGTAGTAGTAGTAGTAGTAGTAGTAGTAGTAGTAGTAGTAGTAGTAGTAGTAGTAGTAGTAGTAGTAGTAGTAGTAGTAGTAGTAGTAGTAGTAGTAGTAGTAGTAGTAGTAGTAGTAGTAGTAGTAGTAGTAGTAGTAGTAGTAGTAGTAGTAGTAGTAGTAGTAGTAGTAGTAGTAGTAGTAGTAGTAGTAGTAGTAGTAGTAGTAGTAGTAGTAGTAGTAGTAGTAGTAGTAGTAGTAGTAGTAGTAGTAGTAGTAGTAGTAGTAGTAGTAGTAGTAGTAGTAGTAGTAGTAGTAGTAGTAGTAGTAGTAGTAGTAGTAGTAGTAGTAGTAGTAGTAGTAGTAGTAGTAGTAGTAGTAGTAGTAGTAGTAGTAGTAGTAGTAGTAGTAGTAGTAGTAGTAGTAGTAGTAGTAGTAGTAGTAGTAGTAGTAGTAGTAGTAGTAGTAGTAGTAGTAGTAGTAGTAGTAGTAGTAGTAGTAGTAGTAGTAGTAGTAGTAGTAGTAGTAGTAGTAGTAGTAGTAGTAGTAGTAGTAGTAGTAGTAGTAGTAGTAGTAGTAGTAGTAGTAGTAGTAGTAGTAGTAGTAGTAGTAGTAGTAGTAGTAGTAGTAGTAGTAGTAGTAGTAGTAGTAGTAGTAGTAGTAGTAGTAGTAGTAGTAGTAGTAGTAGTAGTAGTAGTAGTAGTAGTAGTAGTAGTAGTAGTAGTAGTAGTAGTAGTAGTAGTAGTAGTAGTAGTAGTAGTAGTAGTAGTAGTAGTAGTAGTAGTAGTAGTAGTAGTAGTAGTAGTAGTAGTAGTAGTAGTAGTAGTAGTAGTAGTAGTAGTAGTAGTAGTAGTAGTAGTAGTAGTAGTAGTAGTAGTAGTAGTAGTAGTAGTAGTAGTAGTAGTAGTAGTAGTAGTAGTAGTAGTAGTAGTAGTAGTAGTAGTAGTAGTAGTAGTAGTAGTAGTAGTAGTAGTAGTAGT